GATGAGCTCCTTGGTGTTTCAGGGCCTTACATTTTATGTGTTGATTGTGTGTCCGTTATGTGTCGGTGGTCGGTTGGTTGTGCGTCGTTGTGTGTTGATTGTGTGTTGTTTCTGTTCGGCTCCGTGATCTCTGGGCTCTCTGATATTCATGGCCTGTGTGTGGAGCTCAGTGTGAGTCCGCGGGTCGCCCTGAATGAATCCGCAGCTCAAAGAGTTGAAGAGAGAAACGTCCCGAGCCTCCTCATTCAGTCGGCTGACATGTGGCTGCAGAGCTCATTTCAGTTAATGTGGAGCTCTCAGCAGGAGGGGACCACCTGCAGTGCTCGCCCTGATTCTCTTCATGCAGAGACGTTATGCTCATAAAAATATCCTGCATTTAAGAACCTGATCTAAATGAACACGACCATACAAACAAGACGTCTCACAGCCTTTAATATGATCCTTTTTGTCCTACTTGGAGCTCCGTAAGTCTCTTCTTTGGCAGCTCAGCTCTCCTCTGTAACATTTCACACCATCTGCATCATATCAGGATACAAAAAAAGATCAAATCTGCCCTTAAAGCGCTTCTTTTCTCTCCCTCTGAATGGAACTGCAGGCGTCCTGGAGAGCAGAACTTTACCGGAGGCCTGAATCGATTTTCCCCCGCGCTGCGATTGGTCACAGAAGGCAACGTGTTTGGCAGGCAGCGCCGGTTGCTCGATCACTGCAGGGCAACACATTTGGCTCAACAGGCTGCCAAGATCTCTGCAGGCGGAGAAGGCTGCTCTAAAAATGACCTGTGAGCGCGAAGAAACACAACAAAGACTGATTCTGTTCGACAACAACAACAACAGGACGACACTAAAGGAGAGTCCAGGAGCAGTTTAGAAACACACAGACCGTTTCAGAACGGGAGGGAAACATACAATTCTCTTTCACAATGTGCAGACTCTGTGTAAGGAGTTGAATTTGTGGGGAAAAAACACAAATCCATGACTACATATGGGGCAGAAATGCTGCATGATTTCCTATCTGTGTTTGGAATTTGTGTTTTTACCCCAACCTCTCATATTTTTATTTTATATAGACTCAGTTTAAAATGACTCATTTATCCAGCTTAAGATATGATGCCTCCATTTCCTGAATAGAGCTTCCTTTATATATTTTGCACACTCTACTAATGTGCATGATGTTTCAGTTGTATTTTTATTTTATAGATTGACATTATAAAAGATATATAGTATGTAGTTTTCTCATTCTGTCATTGAGCTGCGATTGAAGTCTGTTTTTTTCAAACCATCACTTTTATTTGGACCTCATTCTCATCTCTGTCTTTAAATGCTGGTCTGGAGTCAGGCTGTTATTAGCCTAGCTTAGCATAAAGCCTGGAAGCAGCTGGAAACTGCTAGCCTGGCTCTGTTCCTGGATCAGCCAACACTTTTTATTTAGCTTAACATACATCCATCCAGAGCTTACAGTGAGCAAGTCTTTATCTTAAAGCAGAACCAGACAGGGTGAGCAGGCCACGGACAAGGAGTCCACGATCAGAATCGACTGGTCAGACTTTGAAGAAAAATATAATTGGTAATTCTCTAGTATTAAGGTAATTAAATATTTTAAAAGTGGGCTTATTTAAGAGATAGGACAGTGGATAGAGTCAGAAATCGGGGAGAGAGAGACAGAGAGTGGGGAACGACATGCTGGAAATGAGCCACAGTTCAGATTTGAACCTGGGCAGCACGCCTGGAAGACTATGCCTCCATACATGGTACTAAATGTACCGCTAGTCTATCGATGCCTCGAGCAGCAGCAGCTGTGTGTGTGTGTGTGTATGTGTGTGTGTGTGTGTGTGTGTGTGTGTGGAGCTTTGGTGGAGCTGGAATAAGAGGGAAGGAAGTAGTGTTTAAATGGGCACTGTGTTGTGAGTATGGACTGTGATTGGTGTGTTACTGAGAGGACATCATGTTTCAATCAGCATGAGCTAACTAAGATTAACTAAAGTGAAGTTTCATGCACTTGTTGTCAGTAAGTTTTTCCCTCATTGTGATTAATTTTTATTGTGTATTTTTAATAATAATCAACAACCACTACTTCTGTTTTGTATAAATACTGCGAGCAAAAACTGCACCCTGTCACACAAAGACGTGCAGACTGAATGATTGTTCATCAGAGACTGTAGCTTTTGAACTTCTTGGCGGCCTTTCATTCAGTGTTGGCCTTTTCACAGCCCTGATAACAACCTGCAGTCAGCTCATGTGACCTTCTTCTTCATCCCTCGTCCCAAACAGTCCACTGAGCTGACCCTTTAACTTGTTTCCAGCCTCCACTGATCTGACACGGAGGTACTTCACTGTAATAACGGTCAGGAGTTCATCCATGCATTGTGAGGGCTACTCTGTGTGACCCCTGTCTCTCTGCAACCTGTCTCTCTGCAGCCTGTCTCTCTGCAACCTGTCGCTCACAGCCTGTCTCTCTGCAGCTTGTCTCTCTGCAACCTGTCTCTCTGCAACCTGTCGCTTACAGCCTGTCTCTCTGCAGCCTGTCTCTCTGCAGCCTGTCTCTCTGCAGCCTGTCTCTCTGCAGCCTGTCTCTCTGCAACCTGTCTCTCTGCAGCCTGTCTCTCTGCAACCTGTCTCTCTGCAACCTGTCTCTCTGCAACCTGTCGCTTACAGTCTGTCTCTCTGCAGCCTGTCTATCTACAGCCTGTCTCTCTACAGCCTTTCTGCAGAGAGACAGCCTCTCTCTCTGCAGCCTGTCTATCTACAGCCTGTCTCTCTGTAGCCTGTTTCTCTACAGCCTGTCTCTCTACAGCCTGTCTCTCTGTAGCCTGTCTCTCTACAGCCTGTCTCTCTACAGCCTGTCTCTCTGTAGCCTGTTTCTCTACAGCCTGTCTCTCTACAGGCTGTTTCTCTGTAGCCTGTTTCTCTACAGCCTGTCTCTCTACAGGCTGTTTCTCTGTAGCCTGTTTCTCTACAGCCTGTTTCTCTACAGCCTGTCTCTCTACAGCCTGTTTCTCTACAGCCTGTCTCTCTGTAGCCTGTTTCTCTACAGCCTGTCTCTCTACAGCCTGTTTCTCTACAGCCTGTCTCTCTGTAGCCTGTTTCTCTACAGCCTGTCTCTCTGTAGCCTGTCTCTCTACAGGCTGTTTCTCTGTAGCCTGTTTCTCTACAGCCTGTCTCTCTGTAGCCTGTCTCTCTACAGCCTGTCTCTCTACAGCCTGTCTCTCTGTAGCCTGTTTCTCTACAGCCTGTCTCTCTACAGCCTGTCTCTCTGCAACTTTGTCTCTCTACAGCCTGTCTCTCTGCAGTCTGTCTCTCTACAGCCTGTCTCTCTACAGCCTGTCTCTCTACAGCCTGTCTCTCTGCAGAGAGAAAACATCATGCCAATGAAGCCATTTGAATTGGAAATTGAATTGAATTAATAAGGATCAGTACGGATACAGAATGGCTCACAGTCTATTTCCTCTTAATATTCTTTATTCTCCTTATCACCATCTCGCCCTCATCTTGTCACCCTTTTTCACACCTGCTCCAGTGTCTGTATCCATCCCTCCTCTTTCCGTCTCACCTGCTCATCCGTTTCCATCTTCTCCCCTGCTCATCTCTCCCTGCCCATCTCTCTCTCTCTCTCACCCTGTTCAGAGTAATATCATTAATGTGATGTGCAGCTCGTCCATAAAACACTCTCTAATCTCTCTGGCTGTCTGTGGGCCTGCAGCTCAACCTGTTCAGCTATTTCTGGCTCTTCTATTTCCCCTGGTTATACACACTGTGACTGTTATCTCTGCTCGGCTGTGCAGAACTTTTTATTCAGAAATCCAGGAAAATGCCTACAGTTAAATAGAAGAATGCATTTAGTACCTGGCTTTATTCTGGTAATGCTGATGTCGTGTAAATTCTCAAACATGATCTGCAAACTGGGTGTCTTTTTGTAGAGGGAGAAATCAGATTGGGATCTGTCTGATAGCTTTCTCTAGACACCTTGATCACTGGAAAGGTTGTTTCACATATGACCGGGGCTCTCCTCCTTCTGCCATAAAGAAGGAGGAGAGGTCTGCCATAAATGTGTGTCATGTTAAATTATCTGTTGTCCTAGAAAGAACACATCAAATAGATCTGTAGAAAGACTAAACACAGATTTACCTCCTCCGTCGACTGAGATCTTTTTGGGTCTCTGACCCTGATCATGCTCTGAACAGAGGATATGAACTATTCCCATCAAACCCTCTTCCTTTCTGTATCTAACACACACACACACACACACACACACACACACACACTCACACACACACACACAAACACACTGACCTTTCCATGAGTGTGTGTCTCTCAGGTAGGAGGAGGTGGAGGTGTGCAGAGACACAACAATTCTTAATTAAAAGACGCTAATGTGCTCTGCAGCTGCAGGTCTGAACATCTGAGTTAAATCCTGGATTACAACAACACACACACACACACACACACACACACACACACACACACACACACACACACACACACACACACACACACACACACACACGCACGCACACACAATAAAAGCTCACAAAGCCACAAAGCGTCTCCTGCCTCGTTCAATCATCCAAACATTAACCATTCTCAGAACAGGAAGAGACATAAATCTCCATCTCTCCTCCTCTCTAACTCCCTCCATCATCCCTCCTCCTCCTCCTCCTCTTCCTCCTCCTCCACGCTGTTGTCTCCCCCTGCCTCCCCCCTTTAATCAGACTCCACCTGTGTACCTGCAGCTCTCAGACGGCCTGTCCTCTGACAGGTAATCCATCACAGGTCGGCGTGAACGTTCTGCAAAGACGTCACTGAGGAGACGCTCTCGTCCTCATACATCAGCAGCTCGACCACACGACAACATGCTAATGTGAGAGAAATCACACCTGAGCGAAGAAGCTCCTGTCATACATCACAATCATCTCATATCACAGTGTAATGCCGAGGGCGGCGTCATACTGCCACCTAGTGTTTCCCAGGTTTACTGACATCACAAAGGAGGGAGAGTCATTAACATTTAAAGCTTCTGACGGTCTGGCCTAGTGCAGCCTGACAGAAAAATCATATAACACGAAGTAGAAAGTGTAGATATGAGATGTATTCAGTAGGGACGTAAAGATTAATCATTCAATCGTGATAAATCGATTCAAAGGTGTCAAGATTCACATCGGGACTGAATCGCAATATTATGGTGAGTGTCAGCAGCTGCAGAGCAAGATTTAGAAATTGAGGACGCACCACCGTCTTTTAAATCGGAGGTGTGGAAGCATTTTGGCTTCCCCCAAGACAGAAAATGAAAGAGGTGAGAAGATAACAGACGAGATAAAAACTGTGTGCAAATATTACGAGAAGACAGAGAACTACACAAACAGCACGACCAACATGATGCAGCATTTAATCCACACCACAACGAGAAGCTCCAATCACCTCCCCTTGCTGAGAGAAAAACATTTAAAGGCCAAACCACAATGACAAGCGGGTTTGCAGCTCCTAAAAGAATCTGATTCAGTCATCATTTGTCTTCAGTCACATTTTGAAAAATAAATCGTGAGAGAATCGTATCTTGAGATGAGTGAATCATAGGGCCTAGTTAGTATTCAGACATGTCTCAGTACTACCTCAGATTTAATACCTTTGAAAAGTCTAACATTTTAAAGACTTTTTACGATCTTACATTTAAAAAAAAAAATCTAATTGAACACTTTTAAAGACTTTTAAAGGACCCTTGGTGACTCGTTACCTCGAGATAACTAGCTGACTTTTTTTTTCAGAAAAAAGAGCAGATTTGTATTTTCTCATGTGAATGTAATACTCTGCCATAGATTTAAAATAATCGTCACTTTAACAGCTACATATTTTCTTCAGTAAGAAGGAAGTGTCGTGTGTGGTCGTGATTTGGCTCCAAAGAGCAGAGATAGTTATGAGGATCGGATTTCTTTAATTAATAATTACGATATTAAAGATTAAATATGTGACGTCCACAGGTACAGAAGTGTCTTTGGTCTTCTCTTAACCCGCCTGCACCTCTTTCGTGGAAGACATTTGTTCTACCTGTCTCTCTACAACCTGTCTCTCTGCAGCTTTGTCTCTCTGCAGCCTGCCTCTCTGCAGCCTGTCGCTTACAGCCTGTCTCTCTGCAGCCTGTCTTCATCTGTGAAAATATGAACGAATCAGATGCATTGTTTGAGTGTTTAGACACACGCTGATTCACAGCACTTGTTGTTCACGCGAGGCTCATTAATGTTATAAATGGCTCAATGTCGCCACCGTGCGTTCAAACATGGGGTACTGCAGGAGGACTCACTGGTGGTGTTCAGGAAGCTTCAATTTAAAGAAAACTTTAATATAACAAACATGTAAATAACAAAGCTTCACGTCTTCTCTTTCATGTCTTTCTCCAATCGCTCTCTCACAGATCCTGACTGATCAGTAATGTCCTACACTTCCCATAATGCATCATTTGTCTCTCACAAGACTCCTGAGTCTGTCAACAAAGATGATGATGATGATGATGATGAAGATTGGAAATATGCAAGCCAAAACTTGGCAGCTGAAAAACGTCTTGCTCTCGAGATTTCCATCCTTCATGTTGAACATGGTTCCACACATCGTCTGTTTGGGGCTGAAAGAACGCCACAGCCTCACGGTAAAAAAGGTGAGCCTCATGTCTCACATATGAGAATTTAAGTGTCCATTGTATTCAGATTGTTTAAAGACATGTGACACACTGCAATCCATTTGACGCTGCTGCTCTGTTGCTGTCAGAATAAGAAAAATGCAACCTTCATTCGTTTCTGTCTTGTAGTTATTTTCTTTTTCAACACATTTTTAAACTTCTGCTTATCTCCCTTTTTGACCATAAAGAGGAAAAGCAAAGGGAATCCGTTAGTGTAGTTGTTAGTGCGCACGCCGCAGGTACGGGGGGGGCTACAGTCCTCCGAGCGGGCGGCTCATCAATCCAATAATGAGAAGATACATGGACCCACAGTGAACATGTTCATAACCTTAAGCTTTGATCAGTGTTTGTTATAACCTGTCTTTGCAGCAGATCTCACACAGGTGAGACTGAGACAATTAAAAAAACAACCTCAGCGCTACATCTGTTAGCTGCTAAAGAATGTGAAGGATGAAAATGTTCTTACCTTTGTAGTGTCGATCATCTTTTTTTTTTGCCACAAAGAGAAAAAGAGAAAAGAGTCATCTTAAAACGCTCATTCTGAGAGAGACACAGATTGAAGATTTGCATCATAGAACACACAACGATTAATCATAAATTAGACAATACTTTAATCCGCACATTGTGACTTTGTGCTCTGTGTACATGGAGGTTCTAATATTTATAAAGACCTCAACTTTGACTTCACAAAGATGAGCTCATGTAGAAGAAAAAGACTTGAGGGAATACGTGAAAAACTCCATGGAACACAATTTACTGACTGACAAAGTTCAGCGGGCAAGAGAAGTGGTTCAGATAGAAGTGATTGTACCCGACCTAAAAAGCCTCTGCATGTTTCTAATAAGCTCCACGAGCAGAAACGTGCTCAAACTAGGATCAATATTGGAGATGCTTTTGAAAAATGGAGAGAGGTTAGAACACAGAAAGGTTTACAGAGCGATGCAGAGCTGGATAAACACTGAAGCTTCAGTGTCCACCACATGGCAACCTGTGTGAGCATCCACTCTAGAGAGGAGGGGGCGGGGGGAGAGCGCTCTCTGTTTTGAATTTAGACTGCAGTACCCATTTTAAACACTAGGTGTCAGAGTTACATATTGCTCCTTAAACTCTCTGGGTGAATTAGAAGATGTTTTTTGACAGTATGCTGTTTTTTAATTTGCAGAGGTTCAGTGGGCGCTAAAGCTGCAAATACATTTAGTGAATCAGGCCGTCTATCTCATCATAATCTGCTTCAGTTTTGTTCTTTATTTTTATTGAACTGTTAAAAGGTGACTCACAGCGACACACAGGTTTGGGAGTGTCCCACTTCCCCATCTTGTTGCACTGAGACGAGTTTCTTCCCATCAGGATGAAACCAGGCAGACAGCTGTAGTGCAGCACCGTCTCCTCCACGGGGGGTCCCGGGGGCCATGAAGACACCCGACCGTTCTCCAAAGACGTCCCCACACGAGGACATAACAACACTGAGACGGACACACACACAGGAGGGAATATTTCAGATAAGATTGAACCAGTGTGACAAAGACAAACTGTGGCTTTGATTAAAAGTAAAACGACTGATATGACAGAAAATTAAAATCTTCATCATATTCAAAAATGGTTAAAGATTTCAGTTTGTTTTCTAATAGACAAATTAAATGTTTAACGCTGTTTTGCCAGAGCCTGAACCACAACAGTCAGCTTGTAACAGCTCAGAAAAAGAGGGTAAATAATAAAAAAATGTAAATGCAACTAATGTCTGACAACAGCAAATTGAAGTAAAATATGAAAAAATCAAGTGAGCACAGGCGTTAGAAATAATACGTGTGTGTGTGTGTGTGTGTTGTATGACTCACTCACAGCATCTGCTGCGCAAGCTCAGGTCGGTCCACGTGCCGTTGGGCAAACACTTCCTGACCTTTGGCCCGACGATCATCCTGTTTCCTCTGCAGATGTACTCGATCTCATAATCTACAGGGAGCACCTGAACCCTGCGGATCTACACACACGCACACACACACACAAACAGCTCAAACAAATGTCTGTATGTTTCATAGGCTTTGTGAAACATGGCCACCCTTTGTTGGTTACAGAAGGGGAGTTCTGAAGCTGAACGGTGGCCATACTGAAAATGTTGTCTCAAACTAATTGTTGCTCAACCTAACAGACGGCAACCAGATGGAGCTGACGCAGGCTTTAAGCCTCCAGACCCTCCAGGCTGTAAACGTGTTTATTTCTGCTGTCAAAATATAAATCTTAGTATGGATATATATGTGACTCCCTGCTCTATTGGAGCCAGCCTCTAGTGGACACTCGAGGAACTGCAGGTTCATTTTTCAACACAGGAGGTTTCTGCTTGGTTTACTCCTAACCTCACCTCCGTACTATTGTTGATGTTTACAAAAAAGTTTTCTTTGAAAAAAAAAAAAGGGAGCAAAGGAGAAAACTGGTTAGTTTATCAGTGAAACTTGGACAATACTTTACAACTCAGTGTATTATTAAATACTTTATGCTTGACATTTTGAACAAATGCGACGCCCTCTAGTGTTGGTATCCGAAGGCAGACGACGTCAAACTTCTGCTCTGCTACACATTTATGTTATTCGACTTCCGGGTCAAAGCTCGGCTAGGGAACTGTGGAGTATGCTCAGATCACAGAGGCCTGTTTGGGGACGATTGAGGCGTAAACATGCAGTGAGTAAATCGACCTCAAACGCATCATCTAGGTGTCCGACTTAGACAAATTCAATGTTGGTCAGACTAACTTGTTTATATGTATTTTAAAATGAAATGAAAAGCTCATGTAGACGTGCTGAGTGTGTCAGCAGGTGTTCCTTACCTGCTCCTGTGTCAGTCCTCTGTACCGGATCCCTCCATCTCTGGGAGGACGGATGATCACACAACCTGCAACACACGAACACACCATCAAGTAGAACAGAAATATCAACACCAGAATGTGTATCTAAAACAGATCCTGTGTGTATCAGACTGAAGGTTCTTCTTTTTCTGTCACATAAAACACCAGTCTGTCAGTCATGAACACACACACCGTAGCTTATTAACAGTAACACATATACACCACTCTGCGACGCCAAATATTCTCAAAATCACCAAATGTGGAGTCATCCGCCGCTGGAAATAGTCCCCAACTAATGCACTATTTCCTGCTTCCTCGCCTTGTTGCTGAGATGTGCTAAATAAATGAACTGGCCTTGCCGTGATGTTTGTTTACAACACTCAGCTTTTGTTTGAGGAGATTTCTGTCTCTGTCAGTTTGTTCAAACGCAGCTAACCTTTAAAGAGGTCTTTGAATAAAAATGAAATTAAGAATCAAACGTTCTAACGTGAGCACAGTTATTAATCCTTATAATAAAAAATCCAACATCCAGCCCAAAAGCCACCTGAGAGAAAAATTGTTCCAGAAGTTACAGAATGATCTTCTTCTGGTCTGTT